CTTGCCCTCTCAACGCTCAGCTCCTGAGATTTATTTCCAGATACCCCTCGCAAGAAGTGGAGAATTTCAATGTGCTCCGTTGCCGTTGGCTCCTGGGGCTTCTGTACGCATTCCCACCATTTCCACTGATCCCCAAGGTCATCCAGAAGCTGCTCGATGAGAGGGCGGAGCTGCTTCTGGTAGCTCCTTAATGGCCCATACGATTGTGGTTTGCAGACCTCTGCAGTCTATCTGTATCACCACCATGGAGAACTCCGCCAGACAGGGTCTTGTTAACCCAAGGACCCCTTCGACATCCGGACCCTCAATGGTTGCACCTGACTGTCTGGAGGTTGAGCAGAGTCATCTGAAGAGCGAAAAGTTTTCCAACAGAGTTACTGCCACCATCCAAGCTGCCAGACGTCCCTTAACAACTCGCATCTACAATGCCACATGGTCCAGTTTCTGCAAATGGCGTACCAAGTCTCAAATTGATCCCATTTCTCCATCTGTGGCTCAAATCCTAGTGTTCTTACAAGAGGGGCTTGACAGGGGATTATCATCTAATACGTTGAAAAGACAAGTGGTGCCCTTGGCGTCAGTCGTCACTTATGAAGGTCTCCTATCTTTTTCCCATCATCCACGCATAGTGTTTCCTTCGAGGAGCCACAAACTTATGCCGGCCAATGGCTCACTGTTATCCCACTCAGGACCTTAACAACATCCTTCTTGCACTCACTAAGTGCCCTTTCGAGTCTTTGCAATCGTCAAGTCTCCAATATCTGATGTATAAAGTTTTTCTTGTAGCGATCACTTCCACTCGTCGTATTTCGGAACTGGCAGCCTTGTCAATCAGACAAGATCTTTGCGTCTTCCATTCCAACAGGGTTGTCCTTCGTCCCGATCCTATGTTCATACCCAAAGTTAATTCAGCCTTTCACAGGGCACAAGAACTGATACTTCCTAATTTTTGTCCCAGGCCATCCCAAGGGCTGGAACGACAATGGCATCAGCTGGATGTGAGGCGAGTGTTGCAAATATATATTCACTGCACAGCCTCTTTCAGAAAAACTGAAGCTTTATTTGTGTTTTTTCAGCCCAACAATCAGGGATGCAAGGTCTCATCCTCCACAATAGGCCATTGGCTACGGGCCACAATAGCAAAAACGTATCAGACTCAATCACTATAGGTGCCCAGGGACGTAACAGCTCATTCAACAAGGAGCACCGCAACATCAGCAGCATGGGCCATGCAGGCACCAATCACTGACATCTGTCGTGCCGCAACCTGGGCCTCTTCATCGCCTTTCATTACGCATTATAAAATAGATGTGTTTGCATCAGCCGAGGCCTCCTTTGGCAGAAGGGTTCTGCAACAGGTCCACAGGGACCAGGAGGGGATCCCAAGACAGACGGAGTCCCTCCCGTAGGGCAGGCCAAGCTTTGGTATGTCCCACTATTGGATGCTTTGAGCAGCTCATGGTACTTACCTGACACGCCCATTCTCCTTGAGCTGAGAAGAGCATCCAGCCCCACCCTCTTCCATCTGGTGGGCTCCTGTTTCGGCCAACAAATTTTTACCGCATTAAGGGCGAGGGTGTTTGTTTCTCTCGTCTTCGCCAAAACTGGGGAACGCTGGGGAGGAGTCCCGTGGAGGAGGAGGAGCATTCCACAAATTAAGCCCAGCCTAAACAAGCAGAGACTGAAGCACCTCCCACTACTGGATGCTCTGAGCAGCTCAAGGAGAACGGGCGTGTCAGATAAGTACCAACACCCTTTCTCAATTTACTCCCTTATCCAAGTACTAAATTTGTTCAGTTTTCTAGCTCTGCCAAGCTCACATTTTAGTTGCCACCTGCTACTATAGTATCCCAAACGATAAGTACGTTCAGCAAAGCCAACTGGAATACAATCTCCCTATTACATTCCAACATAGAACCACTATTAGGGCAACAAGGCAGTTTCCATTCTTAATTTGGGCATGGATCCAAATAAAGTTCTGCAGATTTCATAATTCTTTGAAGAATCATGCTTATTATAAGCCTATTTACATATTTTGAGTGAATGTAAGATGTCTGGATCAACTTTTAATAATTACAAAAACACAAACATTGGAAAGAGCGGTATTTTCCATTCCAACCTGTCTTTTGTCAACAGCCACAGATATGCTGTCTACATAGAGGGCTGAGGACCTTAGGAGGTAGAGCCCTGACTTTGGAACACTTTTCCTCATGAAACTTGGCTGGCCCAGATATTAGGCTGATTCGTCCTTTATTTTATTGTTTATTTGTTTATCCAGGAAACCAAAGCAACGTAATTATACCTTCTCCTCCAATTTTTCTAATGACAGCTCTCAGAGGAAGACAACTGGCCAAAGTCATCTTGTGCAGTGGTCACCAACTGGTGGGCTGTGAGAAAATTTTGGTGGGCCGCAGAGAAATCTCACCCCCAGAGCACCCCCACAAAGCAATTAATCCAGGCTGTGCAGAAACACAAGGCTGCGCCACCCACACGGCCCGCAGGAACCCTCCCCGCCCACTCACTCCTTACCCAGTAAACTTGCCTGCTAAATTGCTACTTTTCCTTTTTTCCGACCATCATCTGTTCTGTTGTGCCGGGAGATTTAGATCAACTAGGAAGCAGGAAATGGTTGGATTTCTTGCTTTCTAGCTAGTCTTTAGATCTTCGGCTCTGCTTTTAAGCACAGCCAAACCTCCCTTAGGACTGAAGGTTCTATTATTCAGTGCAGACTGACGGCAAGCAAATTTGAGAAACTGAGCTAGCCGATGGCAGATAGATAGATCACTGAATGATTCTGTGAGCAACTCAATCTGCCTGCTTTGCCTGATTTTGGGTAAGAGTTGCTCTATTTTTATAAAAAAAATCAATATTTATATAAATATTTATAATATTTACATACAAGCCATGCCCAGCCAGTCACATGATAACCAAGCCACACCCACAAATTAGGCCATGCCCACAGAACTGGTTAGTGGTCCCTGGGATCTAAAATTATGAGTTTGGTGGTCCCTGAGATCCAAAAGGTTGGCCACCCCTGATCTAGTGGTTTCCATGGCTGACAGTAGACTGTATCTATTTCTGCCCGGTGCTAGTCCAGTATCTCACTCTTTGTATCACATCAGCTTTCTGGCAGCAACTCCAGTGAGATAAATCCTATTTGTCAAGATTTCTGCCTCTCTGATTTATACTGATGGTGTTTAATATACTGGGATGAACAATAATGTATAAAAGCAAATATATATAAAGTTAGGTTGATGACATCCTTCCAATAAATCCTGCTTCTGCCAGCTCCATTGTTTCTTTCCTGGCGCTGTCTGAATCATAGTCTCAGCAGCTGTACTTACATGTAGTCTCCTAGGCAAACTTAGTGGGATAAAGTGATGGCAACCCTGTCAACCACAAGGCACACAATGTAAGAGGCAGTGACTCACAGCACCACTGAATGCTACAAGTTCAAGGCCCTACAGGTTTGTGGGCTGGAGTTTAATCTAAAGGACCCTGAACTGAATCCCATTTCCATCATATCTCCTTATCTAGGCTATATCCAGATTCCTGTACTAACAGTTTGTTTCCCCAGCATCACCTATGGACAGCAGCAATTTAAAAAAAAAACTTCCTTTAGCTTAAACCCCACAATCTGAAGTTCTTACAGCAATTCCCTGCAATAGGTGCTTATTTCTTTGATTTCCATCCTAGATTTCCCATCTGCACGTGTATTTGAGCTTAATTGCTCTACCTGCAACAGAGTTCCTCCCATCATGCTCCCTCTTAGCAAATCCTTTCAGCTACAATGCAACCTGACACGAACACATTCTCACAACCACTTCACCAAGTCTGCAGCCCCACAAGCAGTAACTGAGGTTGTTTTATGTTCCTCAAGGGACAAATGTCTAATTGATTCTCACAATCTGCATCCACTGCTTTCAATTTACTGGTGTCATCAGAGATCCAAGCAGGACAACTAGGTCAATACATAAATCCAGGCTTTACCCAAGATTTCCTTCATGTTTATACTGCATGTTGGATTCCATAATTGTCTGTACTTTGCCCCTATGCCAGCAATCACAGAGTTGAAACAAACTGCTAACTTCAAACACCCCTTTCACCCAACACATGCTACTCTGCTGTATGGTGCACTCATTTCTTTGCCAAGAAAGCACACATCAGTGCCAATTCCTACATTAGGATAAGCCTAATTATCCTCTTTCACAAGCCTATAGTTCTCAAGTCAGTCTGACTGAAACAGGCTTATCTTCATAAATCTAATCTTTGCAAACTCATACCCTGATGACTGAGATCTTCCTTCACTTTCCTGGCCTGCGTGATTGACAATGGAACTTGTATGGATAACCCTGAAAGCTCAACAGGCAGGTCTTCTCGCTCAACATGCTTGCCCTAAGCATGCATAGAGGATGTTTGTTTCATCACACTTTTCCTTGTCTCTGAAGCATCAAACATGGATATAAAAAATCCAAGTGCATCATCAACAAGTGTGAATTCTCTTCTTCCTCCTATTCTGCACCATCTGCTCTATAATTCTCATCTATTTAATGGATATAGAAATTAATTACAGCAGAAAATTCCATTCCTAATATTTGGATTAAACAGGTGCCAAACATTCAGCACTTTAGTCAGAGCAATATGCAGATGGTGCACGTGGTACCTGTGCTATACAGTTTTGCACAGACACGTAGGTAAATAAATTCTGCAACAATTCCCAATGACAAATTGGGCTCACACAAGATATTCAAACATGCTTAATTAAATCCAATTTATGTATTTACGGAACATTCTAATCTCAAACAAATGAAGCATATTAATGTGATAACATAACCTGCTAAGACAATTGTGGGATTTCCACACTACGCTGAGCCACAGAATATTTTATCCTGCTTAGCATGTTGTGTGAACCATAATTAACCTGAAGGAGACATGTGGGCCATCTAGCCTTAGGAGAGAGGACCAGCAGTCATTCCAACCTCCACCTGAAATTTCCTTACCTTGTGAGCATCGACTGTCTCTCGGTCCACAGAAGGACTGCTGGTGTCAACTGGCCCATTAGATGGCATTGTGGGGAAACTGGGGCAGAGGCAGCTGCTACAAATTTTTGCTTCTGGGGTTTAACTTACAGAAGATTCCAAACTTTACCCCAAACTGAAAAGGGATAATGGAAAAGCAGCCAAGGCAATAATCCAATGCCCCCCTCTGTTGATGGTTCTGCTCTGGTTTTCCTGCCACCTGCAACAGGAAAAGAGAAAGACGAAGGTGAGGCCCAGGCACACAATGCATGCACAGAAAGTCACTTTTGAGGGCCTCTCCCCACTTGCAGGCAATCATTAACAAGCCACAGCCTTGACTCAGCCAAGCTGGGCCCCCGGTTCTTCAGCCCATACAGTCTCAGCTCAGCAACAGAAGGTACACCCTCCTCTTTCAACTTCCCCCAGTCCAGAAACCTTCCCCCTCCCTCCCAACCATACTTCCCTTTCCCTGCACAGCTGCACCTGTTGCTACAGGCGATGTTACAAACCCAGAACAAGCCTTCTTGTTGCAGCCTCCTCTGGAGAGAACTCCTACAACCTCTTTTGAGGAACGAAGCAAGTGCCAACATGGTGGGGAAGAAAGGGAAGAGAATAAAACGGGTGGAACTGCACTCCAACAGAACTTTCATCTTGTGTGCCAGGCGCAAGCAGTGGAGCTTTCAGAAAGTCCCTCTCCCCAGATCCCCGGCAAACAAACACAAAAAGAGTCAGTGCACAAGATAAGCTAGCTTACCACAGCACACATAAGAGGCCCTCAGTTTATGTCTTGTGGTAACTTTGCTTTTTGCCAAACAAACTAGGCAATAGTCTAGCACCAAAGAGGCAACAATTCTGGCACATGCCTAAGATTGCATCACACATAGCCACCGGGCACCCTCTGCTTCAAGTGGTCCACTTTTATTGGAATCTGCCTGAGTTTAGATCCCTCCTGCCTCCTAAGAAAGTTCCCTTGATTTGATTGCCTCTGTGTAAGTGGAGATTCTGCTCTTTGCCATATCTAAGACTCATCCTCCCAGGAAACATGCATCTACAACCCTTTCTCTAACACTTCTGCAGCAAATTATACCAACACCCAGTAATACAGAGATTAGAACATTCACACATATTGCTTGATGACACTGAAATATCTCATGTTTTCCAACCTGCACTCATTGTTACTCAATACACTTCGATGCTATAAACTATCAAGGAAATTCCTCCTCTCTGAAATGCCATTGTGTGCAAACAGAACTGTAAGATTCAACATTTAATCAAAGGAAATGTTGAAGCTACACAGGTGGTCCTTGACCTCCGCAATATTTACCTTTGCCTTCCCAGACTGCTCTTTAGCACATGTTCACAATTTGTCTACTTGACAGTACTATGAACATGGGCATCTGTGGACCATGGTTAGCAGCCAGCTGCCTTCCAGCTAAAGCTGATGACGGGCAGGGAGGAAAGGAGGGCGCCTTATTACAAGAAAGAGAACAACATTAGCCAAGGTTTTCCCAGCCAAAGGATTTGTCTCTTCCTTCTAGGAGTCTATTTTAGTGGCATCTGAAACATGCTTTCTCTAAAACACACACAAACTAATACGCCCATCTATGTGCACACACACTTTTCCAGGGTCCATTGCATATTTTGCCTCTTCCTCCATGTGCCTATTTCATGCAAAAGAGCAGCATGGATCCCTCCCAACAGTTTCCTGTTATTATCAACTTTTTATTAATTTTCATCAAAATGTAAGTTATAAAGTAAACTAAAAAGTAATGGAAAACTAGGGGAAGGAGAAAAAAAGGGGGGAAATGTGGGGTGGGAATAGGCAAGGGAAAAAAGACATTGACTTCCAACTCTCTTTGGCATGGTAGAAGTTAATAACATTACAACCTCAATTTTTTATTTTTATGCAACAGTAAATACTAGCTACTTCCATAACAACAAATCTATCTAATCAACAAAAACAAAATTAAAAATTCTATTTTTTTCCTATAAAATTCTACACCATCTATAAATACAGTCTATAGGCCCTCCATCCACCGAGCCATAGAAGGACCAAGGCCACCAAAGCTGCATTATTGCTTCAGTAGGAAACACAGCAGCAGCTAAGTCCCTCTATGCTACAGGAAAGATCCAAAGAGAATAATCATTCACTCATCTACTCTTTTGAAAGTGCAACACCTTTTTATAAAACGGGCATAAATAAAGAAGCAGCCCTTATCTGTTCTGGAGGAGTTACCATTTCCCCTCCCTCAGCCCAATTGCCATCATAGTGAAAGTGCAGATTTCACCCCTGGAAAAAGCAGCAGAGCTGCTACTGATCTCCACCCAACAAGAAGTGCTAAAAATAATCAGGCACAGATCAATCCTGTAAAGAAAGAGAAGGCTGGACAGAAGAGGTCAGGTCCACCCAGAAACTCTTCCCAGAGAACCCTTCTGTGGGCCCTGCTGCCAACCACCCATTAGCAAGAAAGGAGATGCTTGCTGTCCCATCCTATAGCTGCCTTTAAGTAGCATTGGAGCTGATAGCAAGCCTCAAAATCTTACCACGCTTCTTTCTCTTCTGGACTGCTCTGCCTGCTCCTTGCTGTCTGCAGTGCGGTATTCTCCCAGAATCTAAAAACAGTTCTGTCAAAAACCCCTCTTGCCTAGCCATGGTCTTCTTCCCACTCCTGCTCACTCACCAAAACCCACTCACCAGAGCCTGCGTAAGAGGAGGGGCTGTTGCCCAGACAGCTCAGCTTAGTGAGCTGGAGTAGGGAAGGGCTCCTTCACTGCACGACTTGCTCCCACACAGAAGACACCTTGCCAATCACTTTAAAGCAGGCTCTAAGGACATGGAAGGGACATGCAGGAGGAGCATGCCCGGCTGTTCTAGCTGCAGAGGCTGCACAAGACTATTTATTTTTATCAGCCACATGGAAAGCAGAAAGTGCTTGACAGGCCCTTGCACCTGCTAGCTCTCCCCCAACCGCTCTCTGGTTGCCAACTAAGACAGAGAGGCTCAAAAGCAAGGCAACTGATCATTCAGGTTCCACTGAGAGAGCCTGCTAAGAACTTTGCCCATTGAACACAGAACAAGTGACATTTTTAGTACTTAACAGAGTTTGTTTTATACACAGAAATGCCTTCTCATAGGTAAGCCAACATACTCAGTGGGGTACTGTGGTGAGAAAGTGCAGAAGAATGCAGCTTTGGGATACGTTCAGTGCCTGAGTGACTGTGATTGCAGAGTGAAATCATGTACCTGCTCCTTCCATTAAATGAATTAATAATAGCGTTTTCACGTTCTAGTATTGTTCATGACTGAATAGCACCACGGAAGTCAGAAAGTGAGGAAAATGTTCAAGCAGAGGCACGTTTTCTTCTTCTGTGATGTTCACGCTACTATGCACTGATGTTTCAATGGAAAAATTTCTATACAAGGCTACTTGCGTTTATAATTTAAAGGGACCAGTTTTTATTTCTGCTGGTAAAAAAACCTTTTTGCAAATGCAATCTATTTTATACATTGAATAAGGCTTCCTACTAGAAAGTATGCATTAAATTGAAGCCATTCTTATTATAGTTCTAATAAGTGAAATATATATTACAGCTGTTTGATGAGAGTTACAGTATTATTGTTACTGTTATTGTGCATCTACAGGTATGGGCATGCTTACATGCCCAGCACAATGTCAAAATGAGCATCTGCACTTGGTAGATTGCTTAGTCTAAAACAGCAAGGCAAAATGGATGCTGCTAGGATAGGCAAACACACACACACCTGGATCCAGCACCCTTACTGGAAATGTGAAACACTAGGATTTTGAGGGCACTGTAGGAGAGACAATGGTCACAAAAAATAAAAACACATCTGGTAGCAGCTTTTCCAGATAACAATGTTATTAAAATGCATTAGATCATCAGATGCTGCTCACAAACATTTATGCCTCTCAAGAAAAGCTCTAAGTTGGAAAAGGTGCTGCTACCAGACTCCTCCTAGGTTCTTGACGTAATGGTTGAAAACAAAACAGACACAATATCCCCTTCTTAAGTCACCCAAAGGAGCAAAAATAGTGGCACCAGCAATCCATAGCAAGAAACAAATTAAAAACCTTGTCTGATGCAACTTTGGCATTGAAGCAAACATGATTTCAATCCTGCTGAGAGGACAAGTAAGACAGGTTCAAAGAGGGGCCAATTCTTATCACTTCCCTTCAGCACTAAAAATTTGGAAGTAACTAACCCTGACCTAAAGATTCCTTTTAGCTATGGTGTCATACTTCGTCTTTTCGAACTCCATTCTCTTTTTAAAGCCATCAAACCAAGTGCATAACACATTTTATGGCATGGTAGAATATACTGTTAATTATATAAGGGGTGAAGAAATACTCATTCTTTTGACCCATCATAAATCTATTGCCCCTTCATCAAGACTTGAGAAATAAGCACTCAACCTAAGGGACCTCTCCCAAATTATCTAGTGCAGCCAAATATCTTCAACCAGTCTTGATTTTATGGTCGCCTGATGTGCATCCGGTAACAAATAGCTTTTCAAGCCACAAATGGACCCAGAATATGTGCAGCTGTGCTAATCCGTCTAAGTAGAAAAGTGGGAAAGGATACTCTGGCAGTTCTGAGCACCAGAAACACCAAGATAGGCCTTTTTTTATCAATTTCTGATGGGAATATGTATACAAATGTTCAGGTTGTGGTTGGCATTTAATTATTTCAACCTTCTCTATTGGCCATGGTTTAACAAACAGGGCAGGTTTAAAAATATTTGCAGGACAAAAATGTTATTGTTCAGCTTTCATCAATATAATCTGTAAACTCCCTATAAAAGCATTTGGTTAAACATTTTGAAAACTTGGAACTTTGTTCCATATGCTATTTTTACTTTTGTTCTCTTTACCATTTGAGTTGTTTCCTTCAACCTTTCTCTCCCAACTTTCAAACTTTAGAATAACCAAGGGGATTTAAATCACCTTATTAACTGTTACATAGGCTACATCCACCACATTTTACTGCAGGGTCCGTGTCAAAACACACACTATCCAGTACATGTCAAATCCGAATCAAGTGTGCTCAACAGGTCATTCCTTGTTAGGCTTTCAAAAGTCATTTGTGGGGTAGATTTATCCAGGCCTAGCTCAATGGTACTGCCCACACTGGCAAAGAACCATTTCCACACAGGCCATTTGGGGAGAAGAGCCTTTTATTTTTCGAATTTAGAAACTG